CCCCCCCCCCCAATGTTTGGAGTTCAGGTCATTTCATGAATTTGAAACAATTTATTATATGATTTATCTTTGGGGTTAAAAAAAATGTTTGTGTATACAAGCAGTCCTGAGTTAACGGTAATTGGGAATGGAGTGCTGTGATTGCTGTCGCTATGTGATGCAGACCTGTGACATTGCACTTTATGACTGCATTGCTTAGTGACGGCAGTCCTGGCACTCCTGTTGCCATCATTAAGCAAGCATTTCAGGTCGTTAAATGAGTCCCAGGCGGCTTGCAAGCAGGCCAGTAGATAGGTAAGGCCGCGCAAGCATGGCAGGGCTGAGGGTGACAGTTGCCAGGTGGGGACAGTACATGGGTGACCTGTGAGGCATGACGCAAGCAGGGCTGGAGGTGACCTCTGTTGGGTGGGGGAGGGTGTGTCGGTGGCAAACACAGCCAGGCGTGCATGCCAGCGCTACGGAGTACAGGCACGTTCTGTGGGCACACGTGCTACAGAGTACGAGATCTCGTACTCTGTAGCTGGGGCTCCTCAGGAGAAAAAGCCACAGTAGTGACTTACAGGACAGACTTGTGACCTTCCCTGCTGGCTTCCTCATTGATTCTGCTTGTGGGAAGCCAGCAGGGAAGCTCGCAAATGGCAATTATGTGACTGCAGGAAACTGCAACTGTCATAAGTGCAAGCCAGTTGCCAAGCACCTGAATTGTGACCATGTGACTGCGAGTGCTGGGGGGGCTGGAACTTTAAGGATTGCTCATAAGTACCATTTGTTCAGCACCGTCATAACTTCGAACAGTTGTGGAACAAGTAGTTGTTAACCAAGGAGTCTTGTAAATAGCAACATTTTTTTCAAACTGCATGCATTTTCTCTTATTAAAGAACATACAAGGAATTACATACCAGGATGTTTAGTACAGTGTGCCTCAACATGCATTGTATGTTAGCAAACAGTATACATTTCTGTACCATTGCAGTAATAGCAACAAAACCGGAATAGTCAATATTTGAATTATGTTACTACTTGGCAGGCATGTTCTGTGCTGGTATAGAACTTATATTCATATGCATTTTTTAAAAATAACTTTGAGTATGACTTTCATGATGAGTTGAATACCTTGTACTGGGTCTAATTGGCCCATTTGCTCCTTGATATGTGCACATGATTCTCATTAAAGCTAATGGAGCTATATAGATTCCTAAAGGTAAGGAAATACTTTGAAAGGTTCTGTTATATTATGGATATTAATGATCTCATAATTGCAGACATGCTGCAATTCCAATGTGCAGAGAAAATAGGACAAGAAGGAATTAAAAATTGCAAGTATTCAGCAATTTATTTACAATAATAAATTACAATCCTTCTGTAACTGAAAATACTATTGGAGTTGTAAGGAGTCTTTTCTAATGATCCCTACATGACTCCACTTCGCATTATTTTTTAGTGATAAATTAGGCAAGTGGATCTTGCAACAATAATGTTATGTCAAATCTGAACTTTAACACTGGTGTGTTCTGCTGGTGGGGAAGGAACAGAAGTGGTACCAGGAAAGGAAAATGTAGCTTTGGAAAAGTTTTGGTTTTTTCCCCACAAGAAGAAGAGAAATATTGAGCAATGGAAATAACAAGTTTGTTACTGACTAATAAGTTTGTGTAGACATGGGATGTTTTAATCTGTAAATTAAATGGAATTCTCAAGGCATTTTAACATTTAATTTGAAATAGGTGCTGCTTCTTCAATAAATCCTTTCTCCTTCGTAGTCTGTCAGTTATGGCTTGCATCCTTCTCCTCTAGAACATTTCAGTGGGAACAGAAAAAAGAGCCTTTGTTTGGATTCTTCATTGGAGGGTGCAATAGTATTACATGTATGTTTTCTCTGCTTATTTGGGTTGGAGTTCAGTAATCAAGAATCCAGATGTTTATCTTCTAATTTAAGAAAAGTAATATGTGAAACTTCCACTGTGATATGTATTATAGTTACATGAAATCTCATACCTGCTCTCAAAAATAACATGTTGATGGCATTTTAGGAAGTCACTCCCATTGCCTCTTCTTCCGTAGTAGGCACTTGTGGTAGTTCCATAACTATGTACATATGTATATAGTAGCACCTTTCTTGTACTTTATTTTTATATTCTTATTATTTATTTGGTGTGTGCAAACAGTAAAAACAATAGTTGTAATGGAAGAAAATCGGACTCCACATGGAAAATAAGATGAGAGACAAAATGTGATGATGTTATGCCAATGCCATGGCTTAGTTACAGTATTTATATCAGACATTGGACAGAGATATGTAATGGCAGTATTTGATGAAATCAACGTATGCATCCCATTTTGCTGCCATCAGAGTTTGCTGTGGTCACTGCTGGGATGGGTACATGGAGGAGCTGTAGTAGATCTTGAGTTGGTTGCTGAGATTCAGCCGTGGCACTGTTAGTTCTGGCTAAAATATGGACTACAATAGATGATTGGCTGACTTTGCACCAGGCCATGGTTTATTTTAAGGTTTTTTTTTTTTTTTTTTTTGAGAAAGTAACAATTGGCTGAATTTATAAACTGCACTAATCCATAAACCACAGTTTACAAACTGCATGGCTGGATTCACTTTATACAGTAAGCCAAAAACAAGCCTACCATATTTTGGCTTAATGGGATATATGCCTCCAGTCATATGGAGACCACCTAGAGAAATTTTGGACCTCCATAGGCATTACTCATAAGATGTTATAAATTATGGTATGCTTACTATATCCCTGCTTACTTCTCATCTACTAGGAGTCTGCTCTTTGAAGGTTTTGTGGTTTTCTCCTCAAACTTCAAGAGAGTTGGATCATAACCGAAAAATTTTAAGAAGGGGTAGAAACGAAGATGCACTTAATAGAGGTTTGGGGTAATTTACCCTTTGCAGTTGACAAACACATGTAGTTATCAGATAACTTGCTCTCCACCTTCTTTGAGCTAAACTCTGCTTGCATTGTCCATCATTTTTAGCTAGTGAGAGAGCTTTGAAGCCTTTTTCAAAATTCTATGTAAAAATTATTCTTGTCTTTGTGCAGTTCAGATCCTTTTGTTAATTATACTGAACCAGATTTCCACTGAAACTCCAACAGTAGTGTTATCAGCATGT